CTGATTGACTTAATCCGCTTCGCACTAATTCCCTCCGTCTTTCCTTCTCTACGAACCAAAGAGACTCGAGCCAGATTGATGTTTCCCTCTCTGGCGCCTTGAAAATCCAATCACCTACGTCGCGCACGCACTGCGCGCGCGAGTGTGCGCAGCATACGCAGGAGAGCCGCGCATAGATTTTCTCAACGGCGATCGTTGTTTTCCAAAGTTGCCGATTCACGCGCCATGAATATTCACGAATACGGCGGTGCAACACTTATCGCGCGGGCCGAGCTCGAATGTCGCTTTTCTCCGTCGTCGGTCTTTCCGTTGCGTCAACCCGCACACTTTTAATCGAGTCTTTCGATGCAAACGCGCGATCGCGCGCGGCCACGGGTGCACGGGAGCGAGCGAACGTTGCACTGTTAAACTCGAGGACGAGGAGGCTCGCGCTCGCGCGCGATGAGACGCTAATCGTCTCCGTCCGTATGGCGCGCGCAATTGCGCTTTCGCTTTAGTCACCGTGCCGAAAAGATCTCAGGATTCGTCGGCCGAGGCGTGCGACCATCGCGATTAGTCACACGCTTGGCGTACAGGGCGATCCAAATATTCCGCGCTTTCCCCGAAGTGCGACCGCTACAAGTGAAACTAAGTATAGCGAGAGGCCGAACGGTCGGCCGCGTCCGAGACGCGGGAGAAATAACTCAAGGAGCTTCCAAGGCGCGGGCAAACGTCTCGCGATGTTTCCCCTTACCGAGACGAGCCCTCGTCCACGTCGTGAGGCCGCGCGCGGATTTTGCGGAATTGGCGGGATTTTCTCCGGTAGCGATTTTCTCCGCGCGTGACAAAAACTTCCTTTTCGATACGCTCGGCTGCTCGATCCGCACGCGCGCATCTTGCGGAAAAATGTGTGCACCCGAAGGTCGTAAAACTTGTTGCGTCTGTGTGCGCGCGGGTATTGCAGATAGCGCCTATACGTGGTCATCGCGTGGTGGTATTGCGCACCATCTGGACGACAGAAACGCGGCGGTCTCGGAGCGGCAAGAAAAATAGCGATAAATCATGCCAAGACCATACCGAGCGCCGCGCGCGATCCCGCCGTCGCGTCCGTTCGCTTTCCGTTTCGCGCTATCCGTCACGATCAGCGTACTCGTTTCGAGCGAATGCGACCCGACTCCGACACCCGCGACAGACCGGAGATCCAGTTTCGTCAAGGGGCTCGTGTGATGCGCCGTGATATCCGCGCCGCTGCGAAACGAGCCGGCCGCCGTGCGCGGGCGACGAGAGGCCGTCGATTGGAAATTCCGGCTCGGTCGCTCGATTTTTCGCAAGGCTCCTCGTCGCCGCGCCTCGATCCTTACCCTCGCTCGTGATGACGCGCCGGGAAAATCATGTGCCCGGCGGATCCGACCTCCTGCGATCGAGATATCTAGAAGTGCGCGCAGCTCGAGTTGGAAAATCCAGCCGATCGAGATTGCCCGCGCGCGCGCGCGCGCGCGCACGGATCGTTCCTACGTAATCGGCCGATACGCGAAATCGAATTTCGCCACTTAATCGCTTATTGTCCTCAACGACTTATCTCGATGCCTCACGGTAATGTCGAAACACACACATACACGGACAGACCGGGAAGCGGCAACGACGCGGCGGCGAGATGAGTCACATGTCGCATTAATCGAGCTTCGACTCTCGAGCGGCTCTCTCTACCTGCGCGAGGATATCGCACGGCCCGACGGCAAGGATAATACAAGACGGTACAAACGGGCACCGACAGGAAGCCGCTTGCGACGGCGCGGCGCGCGGGTCTTCGACGACGGCACGTTGCTAGAAACTGAGGACCCTCTCTCGGCGCGACATCGCGCCTCGTCGCGCGTCTTCCTCTTTTCTACGCTCGCCGGCCGCTCAGGCATCCACGTATGTGTGCACAGGCGTGCGCGTGTGCGCGTACGTGTCGCGCGACTACGAGATGTTTTGCTACAAGTATCACCCACCCGCGCTCTCGCGAGCCGATCGCGACTCGCTCGGACGCGCCGCTCCCGGATTGTCCCGGCGATCATTTATCTTTTCGCTTTGTCCTTTTCTCTCTCTCTCTCTCTCTCTCTCTCTCTCTCTCTCTCTCTCTCTCTGTGTGTGTGTGCGTGTCCCCTCTCTACTACACCTTTTCCTCGTCTTTCTCCTCGTCGCGTTCTCCGATTACGCTAAACGCTCAAGAGAGATGCGATGTTCGCTGACACACCGCTGATGAACACACCGCGCGCGGCCCACGAATGTTTCGTGTCTAGCGAGTCGCGCGGACGTTGACGACGGTTTTCGAGATATCTCATTTGTGTCATCGGCACAAGAATATCTGTACACCGAGTTTCAGAACACGGTTGGGAGGTTACGTTTTGGATTGGCAGCGAGAAACGCGGCCGGTGAGATTCGATGAGAGAACTTGTTTTCCCGAACGATTGCTCGAATACTCGACGACATACTCGAATATTGACGGTGCATCAAATTTCGGATAATTCGGCGCGCCTGTCTGTTGTCACGATGTGACGGCGCGGGATTTTATCTCGAGAGATTTTGTCGTACGTCACGTGGGAGAAAGAGTAACGTTTCTGCCGCGGCAAGGATCGTGTGCGATGCAATACAGCAGCCTTGCGGAAATCAGGTAGAAACGGAGCGGACGAAGCAAAAATTTCGCGCGCGCTGATGAAAATATTCCGGTATATCGACGAATAACGAAGCGGCGCGCTTTTTTACGCGGGAGGCTGATTTACAGTAATCAAGGGACGCAGCGATCGCGATGAATGGACCATGCTGCGAGATAATCTCGTGAAACGCGGAAGGGCGGAGCCGGCGGTGGTAAATATTGGCGACGCGAGAATAATAGCTCGCACTCAGCGTGCATTCGGAATGGTGAGGATATTGCTCGTAGGAAGGGAAAACGTTGAAGCGGCTCTTGCGAATTTGTGCGCTATTGTATGGAAATGTAGGAAATCGATGTCGCCGGCGATTGCATCATTATCGGAAGGCTCAACGTTAAATTCAGCGCGCGAACCGACGTCGAGAGAGAGAGAGAGAGAGAGAGAGAGGAGGAGAGGAGAGAGAGAGAGAGAGAGAGAGAGAGAGAGAGAGAGAGAGGAGAGGAGAGAGAGAGGGAGAGAGAGAGAGAGAGAGAGAGCGCGACATGCACCGTTTATCACTGTGCGATCGCGTATTAAATAACGAACGTCATCGTCACGCGATAGCCAAATATTCGCCTGTTAATGCGAGCGCGCGGTTACGTGCGTATTCGATAACGATAAAACCGTCCGAATCGCTGCTCCCCCCCCCCCCCCCGAATCGACACCGCCGAATTGCACGTCGACTCCCAACAACTCGACGTTAATAATAAAATATCGTTGCAACGAGATAATGGCAAACGAGAGGAGCAATTATAATCGAGACCATATAGGACATACTGCTACAAATTATCGCACGGATGATCCCTTCGCTGCTATCTCAATGGATAAGTTTCGGACTCGCTAAGCGCGTAATTTGACGCGCGGCGTATATCTCTAATTCTATCACACGCGCAACGGACAATTTTGCAGACGACCGGTTGGATACCGGTTGGTTTCTTTCGCGTTTGTTACATTCGCCTCGTGAACAAAGGTGCTCGTAAGAATAATACGCGGCTCGGCGCGGTACGGCCGCACGAAATGACTCAGCGTTTATAGATTAGTATAAATCGTGTCCGCGCGATAAGGAGTGGAATCAGCAGTAACGACGCGAGATTCTCGCGCGCGACACTTGCGAACGACACGCGATGAATCGCGTGATAAAAGTGTATCGGCGAATAAATATAGAAACGGATGTGAATTTCACAGCGTACGTGTATTCTCGCAAGACAAAGGATTGTGTAAGATTAAGCGGTAACACGCCGAAATCACACAAAAATGCCTTACTTATCGGTATAATTCTCCAAGAGAGCGAACCTCCCGTACTCCGTTTGCGCGCGATGCTCGCGAAATACTTGAGGGAATACCTGCACGTAAAATAGTTACTGCGAACTCATCGTATACACACACGCCGGGCAGGAACCACACACGAAGGCTAGTCAAGTAACACTATTCCCTCGATCGTCGTAAATAAGAACTCTTCTAGCGGCTTGACGGCGGCTTGTGCTTTTCTTTCACGTCCTTTTTTTTGCCCCGTCGTACAATACCATACGATTTCGTTCCCGTCCTTCACAATATTCCGAACGTTGACATAAACCAGACACTCTTACCTTCCGCTGTACCAAGTCTGGTTGTGAAGTCTGGATAATGTATTCTCACATGCTAGTGTAATCCTACCCGGAAACTCTCTGCCGAGATAAAATCTACGCGATATCAGAGTCAGATAATATGGAGCTTTTGATATCGTTTAATTCCCCAAAGACTCGCAGCGCAGCGGTACGAACGTCGTTGCTCTCTATCATTTAATACGCTTAATATGCACCGTAATAGTGCGCGATGTATTACGCGATGATTCTATATTCGTGCGCTGCACCGGCGGCAAGGTTCATGAAAAATAGCACGACGTGTATCGGCCGCGCGATATACGCTCTCGTTGCAATATAATTTTAAACCGTTAAAAATTTCACGACAAAATTTCCTCAGCCGGATTATACGCGTATTAAGAAAATAATTAAGATAATTTCATCTTCCTTCAAGATGTAGAAATAAAATATAAATAGATAAATAAAAATTATATAATAATTAAATAAAGATGCAGAATAAAAAGATTCAATGAAATATAATATTTGATGCGCGCGGCAGCTTTTTCGCGTCGTTTCAACTCGATAATTCATCTCTCTTTCTCTCTCGGCTCCCCTCTCTCTCATCGTGCTCCTCCCATAAATCAATAACAATGTTCGTTTTCAAACGATAGTTCCTATCACATACAATAGCGCATGAAATGACGTCATTTCCGCCACGCCATTTTTGTTGCAAAATGTACATACTTGATCGCGTTGAACAAAACACATTTTCTTCTTTCTGTCCCTTTCCCGGGGCAGAGTATCGAGTATTTCTTTGTCCGTTTCCTCAATATTTTATTTCGATCTCCGCGGAAACCTTCTCATACCGTGACACACCGACGTTATTTCAAATTTGTCGGGTCCAAGCTGTCGAAACTGTGCCGAGGCGGAATGTTAGAGAGAATCGAGAGCGCTACAATATTGACAAACAAAGAAACGTTCGATCCTTACTCCTGTTGCTGGGTGCGCGAACGCAGCGCGCATGCGCGGGTCGTCTACGCAACTCATTCGGCGAGAAGGGGCGCTCGCGCTAGCGGCGACCAGTCTGTTTTAGCGCAACGGCTTGTTCAGGTCTTGTGTGACTAAGCTGCAGGACTTTCAGCTTTCAACGTGCCAACTACTCGATCGATTCGTGTCTTCGCCCGGGAAAGAACACGGTGAGTATACTGACGCGCAGTGCTGACGCGAAAACGCGATGTACGTACACGAACGAGCAAGGAAGCTCATTGTTCGTCCACAATTGCGCATCGTCGGCGCGGCCATCTTGGCTGGGCTGCGATAACGCGCCGTACTAGCTATATTTCGTGCATCCGACACGTGGTGATGGACACATCGCGTATACACCTGAGTATTTGTACCGGTCCGTTCGAATTAACAGAATTTTCAATCGTACGTATTACATATTGAGACGAAACGCGGTTGTGACACGCGGTCTTTGTGACGGGGCGTTCAGACGTTGTTTTTTGTTGTCGAAATCGAACGCGCGATCTCTTCGATCAGGGCAACCCGATACAAAGAGGGTCAGATTACATAACTTTAAGAGATCACGAGATCACGACGCCAGATAGTTGTCTGTTCTCACTTACGCATTCCACAACATTTTAGTCATAGCCGTGGGATTTTAGACGGCGAGACAAAGGCGTGTCGTATTTTGTTGCGACGAAATCAGATAACCCGACATGATAGAGATTCGGCTCTAGTTACAAAAAACCGAGTTTTAGACTCAAGAAAACTGTTAGATGTATAACATTTTTTATGCGACAAACTCGAGTATTGCGATGGAATGAGAATGATACACATCCAATTTCATAGCAGCCGATGTTTAAGTGAATTTTTGTTACATTTGCCAAGGAAATGAGTAATTATGAATGACAAAGTTTTGTCTCAGATTGATACGTTACAATTTGTTGAGATTATTTTTTAATATAATTTATCTATATTGCCACATTGAGTTAGTTTTTGCAGTATGCTTTATACTGAATATTTCTTGCTCCGTCTAATCTTTAATGAAGATAATGAAGCATAAATTATAATAAGAATAAATACTCGTTTAATAATATATATGAATTATATGTTGCATATTTTCCTATTTATGTATAAATGTGTATGTATTTGTATCTACACCTTATATACATAATTTCTATATATATATTTTAGAAAAAGATGGGTGACGAACAGTGGGGAGGTGATATGATAGATTTCTCGCAGCCACCACCGGTGGATGCATCCTCGGTAAGAAAACAAAATCTTATAAATCAAACATGCTGTAGAAGTGAATATGCTGTAAATTGATGCAATTGATTTTGATATTTTTATAAACAGTTTGAACAAGGACACGCCCCAGTCAAAGGAAAAGGACGTGGCGCAATTTTATCCAACAACAACAATAATAACAATGATTCCCGTGTGGGTGGTTCTTACAATAATGAAAAACCGGATTATCAAGAAAGTTATAAGGATAGGACTAGCGGTAGAGATGGAAATAATAGATATAATGGAAGCAACAGATTCGGGGGAAACGAAAAACCGCGTTATGGAAATAACAGAGGCGACGGTGACGACAGCGATCGCAGGTGGCAAGGCAATAGAAATAACGGCGATTGGGATAAACGAAACAGGAATAGAAACGACGACGAAACTGAGAACAGCGGATATGATGGGAATTATAAAAACGATAGGAGGGATGGACCACGGAGAGATAGAAACGACAGAGGCGGAAGAGGCGGCGGCGGCGGTGGTGGTGGTGGTGGTGGTGGTAGAGATAGGAGAGATGGTGATAATTACAGTGATAGAAACAATGACGATCGCGAGGATAGAGGACGTAGAAGAAATGGCAGCGGCGACGGTAATAGAAACGATGGTGACGATAATCCTCCGAAGAACAGAGAAGTTTATATCCCTCCGGATGAACCAAATGATGAGAATTACTTATTTGGAAATGACGTATCGATGGGAATAAATTTCGATAGATATGACGATATCGAAGTAAAGGTTTCCGGTGAGAATGCACCGCCTCCGATACACTCCTTTGACTCGACCGGCCTCAGGACTCTCCTTGTGGAGAATATCCAAAAGTCTGGATATACAAAGCCTACTCCCGTTCAGAAATATGCCATCCCGATTATATTGAGTGGCCGCGATCTGATGGCTTGCGCGCAAACTGGCTCAGGGAAAACTGCAGCCTTTGTGGTTCCCATCATACATACTATGCTGGAGAATCCGAAAGATTTGGTTCAAATAGGCTCATCTTGCGAGCCACACGCGATTATTATATCACCCACACGTGAGCTTACCTCGCAAATACACCAACAAGTGCGAAAGTTCTCACTGAGTTCTATCGTGAAGAGTGAACTAGTCTACGGAGGGACTTCTGTTATGCATCAAGGAAACAGAGTTTCTGCCGGTTGTCATATTCTAGTCGCGACTCCAGGTAGATTGTTGGACTTTATTGGAAGAGGCAGGGTTAAACTATCTTCTCTGCGTTTTTTGGTATTGGACGAGGCTGATCGGATGCTAGATATGGGATTTTTACCTGATATCGAGAAGATTGTGGATCATGAGACAATGGTGCCTCCAGAAGACAGGCAGACACTGATGTTTTCTGCTACATTCCCGCGAGAGATACAAGAACTTGCGGGGCGATTTTTGAAGAATTACTTATTCCTTGCAGTTGGGATTGTCGGCGGTGCCTGCGCCGATGTAGAACAGAACTTTTATCAGGCATCTGGGCAACCCGATAAGCGCAAATTGCTGAAGGATCTGATAGAGAAGCAGAATCAAGCCGGCAGTATAGAAGGCACTTTAGTATTCGTCGAACAAAAGAGACACACGGACTTTATCGCCGCCTTCTTGTCTGAGAATAATTTCCCGACGACTAGCATACACGGCGATAGACTGCAGAGAGAGCGAGAAGAAGCCTTGGCTGATTTTAAACGAGGCAAAATGTCTATCTTGGTAGCAACGGCGGTGGCTGCGCGCGGCTTGGATATTAAAAATGTCGCTCACGTAATTAATTTCGATTTACCGAAAACAATCGACGAATATGTTCATAGAATTGGACGAACTGGTCGAGTTGGCAATCGTGGCAAGGCAACATCTTTCTTCGATTCGGAAACCGACATGCCTCTCATTGGCGATTTGGTGAGAATTTTAAAACAAGCTAGCCAACCGGTACCCGACTGGTTAGAATCCGGTGGCGGTGGCGGTAGTAGAACTTTCGCGCCTGGCCGAGGATCAAGACGATTTGGTGGAGTCGACATAAGACACGTGAGTGATGTTGTATAGTTCGAATTCCTGATAATATTCATTTCGATTCATTTTCATATTTTTAAAATATTTTTGGTAAACTATGAGAATTCTCAAATCGACTTCCAATATATATATATATATATATGAAAAAAAATGTGTTTTACATTTTGCAGAATAAAGATGGATATGGAGAATCGTATGATGATGTCATTGGTGATGCACCTCCCGTACAAGCAGAACCAGAAGAGGAATGGTAAATAACGACATATCTCAAAGTGACATTACGGAGAGAGAGAGATAGAGACACACACAGACAAAAAAGTTCAGAACAAAAGTAACTGCATTATACGTTTATCGATATGGTAAAGATTATTATTTTTCGTTTTTTCTTTTTTTTTTCTTCTCCATTAGTATCGAGTTAATACACATTTTTTTTACGTTATCACGGATTTCATAAAAAATGAAAAAAATTAAATATATTTTTGTTCATAATGTACAACTTGAAGCCTAAATATAAAAACTATTACATGTAACTAATTATACGTCGATGTAAAAATACAGTGGAATGTAATTACATGTACTTCCAATGATCAAGTCTTAGCTGTCAGGTTAAGAAAAAAAAGTTCCTTGTATTAGTTGTATTATGAAAGAAAATGGCATTTCAGGGTATGATCAATAATGTAATTTTCTTTTAGCAGTAATTTTTCGTGACAGATTCTCAGTGATTACCTCATAAGATATAAGTTTATGTTTATAAACAAGTTAAGGAAACGTTTTATTTCATGGAATCTTTTTTGCGCTATGTTGCTCGTTAAAAGAATTTTTTGTATGTTATTTTTGTAATAAAGAACTTATTTTAATATTAAAATATGATTTTTTAATATTTTCATTATATCTGACTTAACAAAATACCAAAATGACGTAATGATAGGAATTCGTACTTACCGTCGTTCATGGCCATGTCCATCAGATGTAAATCCTCGTCATTAAGTAGGGACGAGAGAAATCCGTCCGTGGTCTGGTTGATGGAGTCTGCTGCCGGCGTATGATAATACATCATATCGCTAGGCTCAGACTTGTAAGTTGCACCGCTTTCTGCACCCATTGGTTCACTGCTGTTTGTCAGATTCATCGATGTTGCCACTGCTGAACCCAAATTCGACGACCCACCTGTAACAGTGAGCAGTTTAGTTCAGACAATAATATATCTTAGACGATACTTCAAATTATTGTACATCTTCATGTTCTTTCGTTATTCTTGAGACTTGCGCAATAGTATCCTTGTGTATTATGATGAATTAAAAATATCTTGTTTGCATATATCGATAGACACCTGTTTAAAATCCCTCAAAGCGACATAAACTCTGCCTAAAGAAATATCTCTTTTCTATTTCTTTTTGTTAACGAGAAAGTAAAAAAGCCGCACAAATCTTCGAGAAGAGAATATCCATCCTCCTAGATGATGGGATTCTAGATTAACATATCCCACGTTGTCATAAAATTTTATCAAAGCCGTGCGTTTCTTGTAAATTGGAAAACATTTTCCGCCGGACTTCGCTTGACATTATTTATGGCGCAAGAAACTCGCTGCTATATTAAACAACAGGGAAATGTAATGCAAGAGGGACATTAAAACATCCATATAATTTTAGACGACACTCACCGACATTGTGATAAGGTCCCGTCGAATTGAGATCCCCGACCGGTGGTGCCAAGGTAGGATTGTGGAGCAGTACGTTACGTTGCGCCTCGTAATGACTGTGACTTATACCGTGTCCTGGATATCCCGTATGCACCGGATGTGCGAAATGATCTGGTGCTCCCGGGAGGGATAACAGAGACGCGAGATCTTGCCACCGCTGTTCCACGCTCATCGCTCGCATGAACGGCATACGACCCTGAAACGAACGAATTTGATCTTCTTAAAGACATTTTTCACAAAGATGCTGCTGCAGTAGTTGTGCGGTGTCCTAGACAACAATTAGCGGTAAGTATAACGTTACCTAGATACCAAAATTTAAATTGTCTCTTGACATATACATTTCGCGCAATTACAATTTTTCTCGCTCTTATTTTTATTTATTGCTCGCTCTTATTATTATTTATTATTGTCCTCACAATTCCTAGGGATTTGTTAAATTATTCATCGGTCGCGATTTCATCAAGTTACATTGATAAATCTCGCCCGCGCTCAAGCGTGACCCACGTGGTAGTCGGCCTTCGTTGCAATTATCTTATTTTGTACATTCTATTATCATAGAATCGAACATCCATCGATCGGATGTCACGCGAGAGGAATCTCGTAGCCGTCGTGCCTGTCAAATGTCAACCAGGTAGACACCTGGATTCCAAGGAGACAGGAACCCCCGCTGATCGTGTAGGTGTTGCCCCCGCCGTAAGATCGGTAAAGGATATTAATAACAGCGATACTACGTGTCAAAAGTATCCTTTCCCCCTTGTAAGGGCGTGCGTCAATCGTGATCGCGTGTCAATCAATGCGGGAATTATGACGGGCGAAATTTATGATTTACAAACACGCCACTTTTACATAAGTAGCCGCCGAATAAAAATGCGCACGTTTGCACCGTGGGAAGAGGTTCAATTTGTCGGGACGACGCGCGCACTCGCTGCATAAGGTGATGTTATTACATCCTGTAACTTTTCGCACGAACAGCTGATATAATATCATTTACTGATCAAACACCAAATAATTTCACGATATCACGACATGAAAGTGAAGTCGACTCGTAAGTACACGTTTAACACGCATCTTCCCCGACATACGCCAAAGTATGTAGTACAGACAACAGAGACTATTTTATTAAAATTATATTCTACAATCTCTCTTTACTAGATGCTCCTGTTGCAAGCAAGATAATGAGCGTTTGCATATTTTTTTTACGCTCACTACAAAGCACGATGTTGCAAGAAACATGGAATTATATGCATCACTCGCCAGACGCGTGCATTTTATGCTCGTAAAAAACAAAATAAAGAGAGAAAAAGATTTCAGATTCAAGAGCAAACGTCCCTCCCAATGTCGCTGCTGAGAACGCGCTGGGAGCATCTCGGTCGCTAATTATGAGAGATAAAGAGAACAGTCGCGCTCTCTCAACGTGTACTTTCACAAAATTTCATCGTTTCGCTCAAGTCGCCGAACGATATGGAGGAGAGGAAAGGAGGAGGAGGGGAGAGGGAGAGAGAGAGAGAGAGAGAGAGAGAGAGAGAGAGAGAAAAGAGAAGAGAAGAGAAGAGAAGGGAAGAGAAGTGAAGTGAAGAGAAGAGAAGAGAAGAGAAGAGAAGAGAGAATACGGTTGGGTCTCGCGGCGTAAGCGCGGTAGTGGTGCTGCCGCTGCTGTCGCTGCTGCCGGGGGGTACCCACCACCGGCGCTTAATGCACGTAGGTATTGTCGCTAATGCGCCCGGGCGCAAGAAGAAGATGAATAGGGAAGCTGCCGTGGCGCGCGGGGCCTGTTGGATTGTTGTTCGCGGGCGCATCAATCAGTCGCCGGTGCAATCTGTCGAGCGCGACGCCTTTAAGGCGATTCTCGCTTGTCAGCGCATCTGCTGGCTGTGTAGGCCGCCGCCGCCGCCGCCGCCGCGGCCGCGGCTGCGACGGCGACGGCGACGGCGACGGCAACGACGAAATGTAGGACGGCGACTTTTGTTCCACGGTGATTTGTCGTGCAGCGCGACGCGCATCGCGCGCGTTTCTAATGGCCGGACTTTACGGCTCATCCTGCTTCGACGTAACGGCCGTGATTGAGTTATAGAGGAAAAAAGGCCGCATCTTCGCGCGCGCGCGAGCGTGCTGCTCTCTCTCTCTCTCTCTCTCCCTTTCCTCGCGACGCGCGCGAGACGGCGAGAGATTATCGTCTTGTCGTTGTCGACGATGTGCGGCCGTATGCGACTTCCAGTTTTCAATCGTCGCGGGGAATACTCGCGCGATTCGTTATACCTCCACGGCGAATTAATCCGTGACGGGGACGGTTAACGCGACTGCCGCCTTCGCCGTCGTCATCGTCGTCGTCGCATAGAGGGGGGGGAGGGAGGGGAGAGAGAGAAAGAGAGGCTGGAAATCGCACGATGGCGGGTTCGTTTTAGGCGCACAAAGAGATGCACGCCGTGTACCTTTAATTGGCAGTTTGTTTAACCCTTCCTCCGTCGCACGGCAATGTCGTCGTTTGCTTGACGAACGGGAAATTATTTAGGACGCCTTCCGCGCGATTTATCGCGATATAAGGCCGGTATGCGGCCGTGCGTGCTACGTATACGTGTATACGCACCGCGCAGGCTCGACTGTTATTCCCGCGCGATTTGATTTGATGCGCGACGTGTGATTTATCGGACGGCAGCCGTTAGGGCTGCCCGACATAGTGTTCGCTTCTGACGAACTCACGTTTCGAATAATATCTATGCGAGCGCGGTAAACGAACGTTATGTACATTCCTCCGTGGCGCGCTACCGGCGCGCTTATGATTTATGCACCAACACACGCGGGAGCGCGTAAACGTGAGTGTGTGTGCGTGTGCGCGTGCACGTGCACACGCGATCTCTCGCGGCTCTCCTCCACGTGCACACGGCCGCGAGAGAGTCGTGCACACGCGGGACGTGCGAGCTGCGAGAGGCCGCGAGGAAAGATATCTGCGCGCCGGCAGATGTTTGAGACGCGCTGTCGAGGACTCGCTAGATTTCTTCCGAGATCTCTCCCTCTCTCCCTCTCTCTCTCTCTCTCTCTCTCTCTCTCTCTCCCTCCCTCTCTCTCTCTCTCTCTCTCTCCCTCTCTCTCTCTTTATCCCCCTCGCGGCCGTGTGCTCTTTTTCTTCTACTAATACACATTAATAGCGCGCGATCTTCGCAGCCTTATCAAATCCGTAACGAGGATTCCGGCTCGCTCTCCGCGTTGCCGAGAGCAACAGAGATCTCTCTCGGGATCTATGCGCGAAATTGATTTTCCGAGGGAACTGCGCTTCGTTATCGAACACGTTTAGATAGATGCGTGTCGTTGACGCGCTCGTGTTCGTGTTATCATTCTCACCGTGAGCTGCTTCCGTCGGATACGCGTGTTTCCAATGAAAACAATCTTGAAATTAGTTCCATCGCCATTGAATCGTTCCAATAATAGTTATCTCTCTTCTTCCTCGCTCTTCAGCTAACTGCTAATAAAACGAGCATCGTCAATATTTGAATTAATATTAGTCTCTCTCTCGCTGAGTAAGTTCCGCGCTAAATCTGTTTTATGGGGAACACGTTGTTATACACGCGTCTGCACCTTTTTATTTAAACTGCCATAAAACGCGATCTGTGCTTCCTCTCTTTTCTCTCTCTCTCTCTCTTTCTCTCTCTTATAATAGATTGTTGCTGTACAGCACTGCCCCCAGATTTATTTTCTTTTATTCTACATCCTATTGCGTTTTATTTATTTCTTTTTACTTGCGCGGTAACATTTATTCATTTTTATGTTTTCCTTTTCCGTTATTACTAGGATATTGTGTTATGATTATTAATCGTCTGCGATATTTTTATGATTCGCACGGCCGTACTATTGTTATTACACTTTATTGTAATCCTTAGGAGATGATGTACCCCATGGAACAATAAACTTTACTCCTCTCTCTCTCTCTCTCTCTCTCTCTCTCTCTCTCTCTCTCTCTCTCTCTCTCTCTCTCTCTCTCTCTCTCTCTCTCTTTCTCGTCTGGATGGCCGTCGGCGGTCTGTTTTTATTCCGGCCGTAACGTCGCGAGGCATGCACTGGCCGCGTCAGGGCGAAGCGCATTTCGATCGAGCTATTTGACAGTGATCAACTGACCGCTTGACACCTGCCATCGTCGTCGCTTAACCTACACGGTCTCTCCACGGTCCTCGATCGGTTACCTCGAGTTACCTACTTTCCACCCCGACGCGTCGCGCGTGTTTTCGTACGTGACTGCTGGCAAAGCTCGTTTCTGTCACGAAAGTTGTGAATGAAAATATTGATGGATACGGATTCAGCCCTCACACCTTTTATGCGCCGCGGTGCGCGCGGAAAAAATATTTTGTCTGCCTATCTCGATTCTCTTGCTTCACCACCGAGTCAGAAATTTCCTCTCTCGTTCAGCGTCCTCGCGCGATCGTAACACGTGAAACGCGACAGAGGATACTTCGGGACGGGACAGAGTCCCGTCGAAGGAGACGATGCGAGGAGGATTCTCTCGGGATCAGCGAGCCGGAAATTAACCGAAAGTCGCGCCGCGCGGAGAAACGCGTTCGCGTCTTTTGTCTTTGTGCGCGCGCGCGCGCGCGCGCCTCACTGGCCTCAATGACTGCACGCGAAGACAGAAATTCGTCTCACACATCCTAGACAGCGGCCGGAGTCCGCGGCGGAGGCGCATTATGCATTTCACAGCGCATAAGTCCAGCAGCTGCGCGCGGGATCCCCGGCGAACGGACACATCGCTGTGACGTCCCGTGGCGTTTCTCGGTTCTTGGTGAAAATTGCCCGGTCGGGGTGCGCGCACGTAAGAATTTACGAGCGACAGAAGCGCGCTAAAAAGTCTCCACTCTCTCGTGTAAGACTCCACTGGACATTACGCGCGCCGGCGATTCCACGGGCGTTCGCGACGCGACGAGATTTTTCATCAGCACGGACGTGTCGCGCCGGCGCGGCGCGGCGCGGCGCGGCGCGACGCGGCAATCGTCGCCGTTTGAATAGACCGGCCTCGGCGGCGATAGACACTCGCGATTAACCCGAGACTAATCTTCCGTTCGATCGATAACGCGATAACAAACGCGGCACACAAACAAAGAACTGGCCTGAGACGTCTCGATTCTCAGCTCGCGGTCCGCCGCGAATCCGGAACAAGGTCGTCGATTTTCGCGGTCAAGCTCCGCGCGCTCTCGGACGAGAGCGACATCAGTC